TTGCACCTTCATTATAATTTGTTGTTCATGTTCTCATTTGTATAAAAGTTATTCTTCTAATTTTCTTATGAGACAATCTTCAAAATCTTGGGAAGCCTTGTGGATATCTCTTCACTATATCATATGACTGAATTAAAAGATGTTTCTCAATGTGGAAAGGTATGAATGAGAACGAATATCTTCACAGTACAAGAGATGTATTTAACCGGTTTCGATTATATCTTTGTCAGAAATCATGTATTTCTGACGAAGATATAATAGAAACTGGTTAAATACATCTCTTGTATTGTGAAGATATTAGTTCTCATTCATACCTTTCCATATTTGTCAACATGAATACAGTTCATGCTTCTCAATATCAATAAATGTAATTATTTTTATGTATGTATATTTTTCATTTTTGTTTTGTCAGTTTTACCTTGTTGTTATTTACTTTGTGTGCTGTTGTTGCTGCTTGTCCCTTCCCCATATTGCATTTTTAATTCACTCTCCCTCAGAGTGAAGATCCAGGCAGTAGCAGCCAAGGGAGAGAGTGAGCCAGAGAGAAAGGAGACGAGGAGCAAGGTGGATGAGGATCGTAAGCACGAGATTGAGGCGGCCATTGTGAGGATTATGAAGGCCAGGCGGAGGATGACGGTTTGTATCTGGCTCTGGGTTTGTGGTCTTGAGTGGGAGGGGGACAGGTAGAGAGATCAGAAGATAGCCACAAAGCAATAGGCAAGCAGAAACTCTGGAAAAAGTGAGATGAGGAGACGGAGAGTCTGGGAAATAGATATATATATATATATATATATATATATATATATATATATATATATATTATATATATAATATATTATTTTTTTTTTTTTTTTTTTTTTTTTTTTTTTTTTTTTTTTCTTTAGAAATTGGTTCCTCAGTTGTAAAAATCATATCTCCACAGTTTAGACTCAAAAAGTATTCTTGGCTTAATTTACAGCTGATGCATTTGTGGTACATTCGAGAATGATCAAGTATATAAAACATATTACCTCTCCTTGGTTATAGCAAATACTTAAAGGTAATTAAACGTGAATTGTCCATTTTACAGCATAACAACTTGGTGGCAGAGGTAACAGATCAACTCAAGTCCCGCTTCTTACCGTCCCCAATACTTATCAAGAAGAGAATTGAGAGCCTCATCGAGCGAGAATATTTGGCCCGCACTCCAGAAGATAGGCAAGTTGATAGCATTGTTGTTTTAGTGTTTAGAGCATTTTTTTCTGAGATTTGCAACTTGCTTGTTTTTGGTATTATTTGTCTGAGGTTGGTATTTTTTCATACAAGGTTTAATTTTTTAGGATGGCTCTTGATTCTTTGTTGATTCCTTGTGATGAGATTTTCTTTTAGGTTTTGACTACCTAGTCTTTTACTTTTAATTCAAATATGGTATTGATTATTTTCTTAATATTTCCTGATATATGGCTGAACAGGTTATCTCTATTCTGATTTCCTAATGGAAACCATAGCTCAAGAAACAAGTTTTCTTGATTGTAGAGTTAATGCAGTGTTATGGTCTTGTAATACATAAATACAAAATTGTATCTCCCAGTATACTGATATTATTATTTTTTAAATATCACCATCTGTATGCTTATAAAGAAAAAAATTGCAAAGTAGGATTTGTAATTAAAATTTGACCTGTTACACACTCCTCATGATTCTCAAGAAGGTGTAATAATGTAAATGTTAAGGGCACATTTTGTACTTTTCAGTCATTCTCATTCAGACCTTTTGTCAAAGTAAATTCCAACCATTTACTCCTTTGTCTACATTTGCAGGAAAATCTACTCTTACGTGGCATGAGGAGTAGGCTGTTTATACTGGAGCATAGCCAAGGCTGTGAAACCTTCCCTTGCGAGAGGCACGGCCATCAGTCAAGGAGGTTGGGGGGAAAGCAAGACTCTGGAGAGTGTCGGGAATAGGCAGCCAGGCCACCTCCTCTCTCCTCTGCTTTGCTCTGTCTGTCTTTCGGTTTCTTTTGTCTTCTCTGCCTTTTGGTTTCTGTATGTGTTTGTGTGGCTGTCTCTCTATCTATGTGTCTCTGTCTCTTCTGTTTCTTTCTGTTTATCTGCCTGTCTCACTGTCAGTCTCTTTTTCTCTTTCTCACACCTGTTTCATACAAATTTTCACTCCCCATCCCCCCACCCCCCCGTACATGTGCTCTCCTCTGCAGGTGTTCACTTCACTCCATCCCGGGAATCTGCGGGACTCACACACACACGCTCATGGACCTAGCAAGTTTCTGTGAGTGTCTTCGATAGCACCAGCCGGACCCATGTGTCTTTGTGAGCACCGGTTGGATGTGTGATAGAATTGAAGAAATAGATAAGAATGCTTTGAAAGAAAACAGAAAAAAGGCAAAACAAGATCATTTTGAATGAATAGATGAATGAATGAATATATCAACAAAGGAAAGGAAACCGGAAAAGAGGACCCCTTGATTGCCTGGTTGATCGTTTGGAGAGTCACTGTCGACTGTTTCCTGGAGATGCTGTTGGAGAAAGAAAGAAATGTAAAAGGAGGGAAGAAAGGCAGTGTGTAGATAGCTTGAAAAAGTGTTTAGGACAGTTGATAGTGATCGCAACCAAAAGACAGTGATAATCCGTGGCGAACAAGAGTGTCCAATGAACTATTTTTCCCCCAACCCTCCTTCCTCCTTTCCTCTCCCTCACTCACTTCCCACTTCCCTACCTGCCCATTTTTGCCCTTTCCCCCATCCCCTGTCCCCTCCCTGCTTTTCCCCCGGCCCCTTCCCCTGCCCCATTTTGTAAGATTGTTTTTTTTGCTCATGATAACATATGTGTCATTTTCTAAGAATGGCCCTTATATAGTGTCAGAGGTGCAGACATGCGCCTTCAGAAATTTATACTACGTTAATGGAATTGACGATAACAATAAGAGGAAAGAAAAGAAAATAGAAAAAACACTGAAGAAGAAGAAGACTAAGAGGAAAAATAACAACCAAATGCACACATGACATGATTTAAAAAATTATGAATAAAAAGTAAATAAATATGTAGAGTGATGAACCCGCTTACTTGCTTGGTCCCAGCGCATCCAAACTTGCGTGTGCGGTCAATGCTGAGCTAATACCAGTTGGTAGACTTTTTGCCGCAAACTTTTTTTCATTGGGATTTTTTTTTTTTTTTTTTTTTTTGTGTTAAATCTCCTTCCTAACCCACTCTTTTTCTCTCTCTCTCTCTTTCTCTTTATTTTCCTTTTGATCAAATTTTTTTTGTGTATATATATATATTTTTCATTTTATATTGGTTATGGACATGTACATCTGTTGCTCATGTCTTATTTTTTTTTTTTTTTTTTTTTTTTTTTTTTTTTTTTTTATATTTTTTTTATTGCAGGCAGCTTATTTAAAACCATTAGTTATGGCATTGTTGTGATAAAGAATAATGGCGATAAAAATTTAAACAAAAACAAAAAAACAAAAAATATTGTTATGTACTGTTAGTTGATGATAAGTTAGTTTTGGTCCAAAATCTGTAAGATAATTTTTTTTGCATTTAACATGGCAAAATATTTAATAAAAAAATTTAGATTTATTTTTCCTTCATCTTTAGGGTAAACAAAATGGTATTATTGTAACCAGTCTTCCCACATGGGTTATGGGAGTGAGAGAAACTGAAGTCTAACTGTATTTAAAAACCATGGATTTATAGTGTTTGAATTCGTCAGGTCAGAAGGACAATTAAAGACACCATAGAAGTTGAGTTTATCCAGTGCTTATAGAAATCAAGTAAGAAAGAAAGAAAGAAAAAAAAAGAAAGGAAGAGAGAATAGAAAAACATAAAAGTCGGAACGGTAGAAGGATCACAATTTTGCGGAGAATATGTGAGATTAGAATTCCCAGTTGTACTAATTGAGGAGACTGGGAAGGAAAGACTTAGACTGCAAGTGAGAAAATCATCTTGAGTTTCATGAAATATATTTATGATTTTTTATATATATACATACACACATCTGCCTGCTGTCCTCATGACACATTTCTTTGGAACAGTGCTCTGATTTCCTCCACATTTGTTTTGTTATCTCCTCTATCAGCCTCCTTTGTACACTCGCTACCATTGGAAGTATAAACAAGTTTCTAAAAATGTATTTATTCCATTAAATGTCTGAGAGGCAATTTTTATGTTTTCTGCTCTTCCTATATTTTGTGAAGTGAGTCCTGCCACTAACCAAAGTATACCATGCATTTGGTAAGAGTTGTATGGATTGATTTGTCTTTACTGAGTATCATCGTCAAAATGATTGTTGATGCTTTTTATAAAGAGTGGATCTGCTCTAATAAAGACATCTGGATGTGGAAAGAATGCTGGATGAAATGTGTCATTCAGTGGAATGTTCATGTTCAGTCAGTAGGTAGTATTTTCTTTAGTACATAAGGAATGATCTTTTTTTAAACAGAACACTATTATACAAGACCTTTATAGCACTGAACACAGGATTTTTTTTGTCATTGATCACAACAGGTGTTTTGCTATTGATGCTCTCCAAAGCATTTAGTGAAAGATTTTGATAATGTATATTAAAAATGAAATCCGTGAAGCTTCTAAAAGCTGTAGTTGGGCCACAATTCCTGTTCTTATGTAAAAATATCAAGAAATTTTGTATTATACATAGGAATGACATTTACAGCTCTTTGTGCACTGTCAGATGTGATGAAAATGGCAGCAATTGGGTTATTTTTGTTGGACATCATTAAAATATTATTATCGTATATCAGGATGGATTGATAGTTTCAACATTCGAAAAGAAAAAAACAAGTATAAATCTAGATTGATCACTGGGGCAAGAGATTTGACAAAAAATACAAATTTTGAAGTAAATAATACAAATACCATAATATATTGTAATATATTGAATGTCATATACCAAAAGCTTCTGTAGTTGAAATTTTATACTTTAACATCATGCCAAACCCCCCCCAAAAATAAACTCAAAAACATTTTTCCTCTAATGAAGATATGGGGTGACAACACATCCTTTTTATATTGGCCTCTTTATCTTTTCTGCTACGGGAGAGACCAGCAGCAGCTTGCTCGCTACCAAACCATTTAGTCCTGGCTTTGAGGCGATTCGTATGACCTATGGTCAAGATGACATATGAAGGAAAAGATATGTCATACCATTTAACATAAATATTGTTAGAAAGTCATGTTAAAGAATCTGACAAATAATGAATATATTATGTGTGGCTTATCTGAATATTGCAAAGTATATTCCATCCCTAATGGGAATAAAATAATCTCACAGTGAATCCATATGAATTCGGAATGACTGTTCGAAACATGAATCAGAACGAGACATATTGTTGTCATGGAGCTAACACCGACGGGGGCGCATAGCCACATCCACCCTTTGCTTGTACCTGCGAGGGTCCCTTATGGCAAGCCGCCAGGCAGGGACTCAGCCCGTCTCAAGCTCCTCACGACAGGTTTGATCGATCTGCCTAAGCCATGACTTCCTAGGTCGTCCCACAGGCCTCCTCCACTCAGGATTATCTCAGAGACAATATGGTGGGCAAGATCATCCTCAGGCTATATGGCCAGGTGGCCATATAGCCTAAATTGGCGATCACGGATTGAGCAGGTAATAGGTCCTGTGCCTGTCTCACAGTGCAACCGTTGGTTGGACATGTGGTCCAGCCAACAGTACCCCATGATCCGACCTATTACAAAAGGCAGCAAGATGTGACTCCAAGGCGCAGGATAATGTGCAGGTTTCACAACCATATAGTAAAACTGGCATTATCAGGGCCTTGAAGACGCGTAGCTTGGTCCTTCTGCACAGGTACCGGCATCTCCAAACACTTGTCGAGAGAGGGCAGGGGTTGGTACAGGGCCAGGGCGTGTCCACACGCCGGTGGGCCATGACCCTGAACCCCTAGGGCCTCCTGCTGCTTCGTGATCCCCCACAGTTTAGCCTGGGACCGAAAGGTACCGTTTCCATGTGGGGGGCCACGAGGAGGCACTGCAGGGGTCCCGATGATGGAGGGCTATGCGCTGGCGGGGGAGGTTTATGCAGAGCTGCTCCCTTTTTCGCACTAGACTAGTCAGCGGTGGCAGCTACAAGCGAGATTGCATGCAAGCCACTTATCACTAACTAGACTACCACACCATCGCTTCACATCACCCTACGCGTGACGCACCCACCCGACATATTCGATAATCAAAATACAAACCCTTCCATAACATAAGGTTGTATTCGTTATTGAATGTTATGACCCCTCCAAATGATAGTTTTCTGTGTAACTGTACCTCAGGATCCCTTCCTGATCAGGGAGGGTTTTTGCAAGGTACTTGAACCAGGCAGTTGCGTGATATACCATATGATGAACCCGTAGCTAGGATATCCTTCATATGATGTGATGACGCTTTTTAACGAAAGAGGTGGGCTACATGTCACAGTCCCCTTTGCCTCCTCGGTGTCTCTCAAATCATCAGAGAGACGAGACCATTCAACACAAGGGATTCGCAGCTCTTCACTTCTTTTGGTACAAGACATTACATTCTTCATGATAATGCTCCCTATGGAATGAGAAAAAGGACGATGAGTTGGAGTAATTGTAAACAAAATGTGGGTAAGTGAAAGAAAAGTGGTAATTTAAGGAAGGGTACACGTCGCTATGTCAGAGCGAGAAGACATGGCCTCCACATAAAATAGCCAAGCTTCATGTATCAAATACAGTCACAAACGTGTATTTTTACCCTACAACAAATAATGTTTTGCATTATGAGCTACGGCGTCTTACATCTTGAAAAGTGTCATTTTTTACACCAAATTACTAGAATTGTGTAGTCACCGGGTTCAGACAAATTTGCTTTGGTGGTCCCCAGTATCATCATGACTCGGCCTCCAGGAAACCTTCATCCACTCCGAACATCCTCTACTTCATCTTCCCCTCCTCCGCTGTTCGTACTCTGCAGCCTTTACTGCCACCGCCCGCAGCACTACACAACGCCTCCCTCTTTCGCAAGCCCCTGTCTTTCTACTACCCCCACCTTTACAAATCTTATAAGTACTCTGTTTAGCCCAGCCAAATGGGATCGACCTTTTCGTTATTCAATCAACAACCCCTTACTCTGACAACACTCTCCCAACAATGCCTCCAGAAACAAGTAGGCAAAAATCGCTCTCGCCATGACAGTTACATCCGAATCCCAAGCTAAAGCAACCCTGGCTAACTAGTCTCAGCCTTCCCTCGATACTTGTACCGGAATGGTCTCCATCTCCTCGACAAACTGCCCTGTCTACGACAAGGTTTGGTCAGATTGTGGAGAAGACTTCGTCGCCAGCATCATGGACTATGACCCCCATAATGTTTGTATAGGCCGAGAATACCTCCCTGTCGGACCAGATCAACCTTCCTCCGTTAGTGTCACAATTACAGGCGTCAAGGCCACCCTGCCAAACTGTCGCTCCACAGACCGATGGTCTCCGTGTGATCAATCTGGTCATGATCGATCAAACTGCCCTGCACATGTTCCAATTGTGATGGCTTCCGTAACGTATTTTAGAAATAACGACCTCCCCAACCAGGCCTCGAACCTGCAACTTCGAGACGGGAGCTAACCAACAATGCCACGTAAAAAAAATGTAAAACTTGGAGCTTAGTAATTTCCGTAGACATTACCTATCTACTCATACACGAGTAAAGGCAGCGAGGTTTTCCACACTCCCCGTGGGCACTCGGTGGCTCAAAGCGGAGTCAGAAGTACTGAGGTGTATTTATGAAAGATGGAATAATGCACTACGCGTCATCCATCTTCCAATCTCTCTGCTTCCATTCCCTCTACAAAGTAACTGACGACATCCATCTTCCTCCTGTTCATGCCCCACAATACCCCTTCCTCCCACTCTCTCCCAACAACCCCACCCCCTGCTTGATCTACATCACCCCCCCTTCCTCCCCCATTATCCTTTCCGCTTCCCCTTGGATACACATGTGTTTATCACAACCCCCTTTCCTGGATTCTCGCCCTCCTGTCCTTTCTCCTGAACGTGTGATCGAATCGCCCTTAAACTCCCTTTCTCCTAATTCCAACCTTACCCTACGGACATTCTCGCAGAATCCCCCACTCCTTCCCTTGACAACTTTGACCTAACCACGTTTGCTAATCCTCACCTGAGCTCATTCACTCGCCCTCTCTCCCCTCACGCTTCTTTGCCCCTTTCACTGCCATGCTATCCTTGAATGCGACTTTTTGTGGCACATTTAATCAGCAATTGACGCCCTCTTTACCCTTGTCACTACTACACTTTTCTATAGTGCTGTATGACCTTCGATGTCTTGCACA